ACATCGTTTACGTGTGCTCCCCAACTTAAATTATGCGACAGTTTCACGCCGAGAAGAACGACAGACTCTTCGCGTTTCATTATTGTAGAATTAATAGAAAAAGAAAGATGATTGGCAACAGACGGAGGTTACAGTAACGGTAACGCAAAATCGTTACCGTTATCGGAGTAACGGGGGTAACGGTAACGAGTAACGGTCCACCTCTAGTCCAGAGTAAAAAAAAATCTCAAGATATTTCGAGAAGTGTTAAAATTAGCTAGTAAAAAAAAGTAAAAAATTCTGAGCGGAATACACAATGTGACCCTGGAGAATCATTTTAAAAAAGGTGGCTGATCGAAAAAGGACCGTGGTCTGAAAGTTTTTTGCTTTTACCAAGGGAATATTGTTATGATGGATGCTTGTGTTGAATCAATTAATCTGCCATAATGTTCAGCTTTCAACGATTGTAAACATTCAACAATATTTGTAACAGCCGTATCAGTGTCGGGATCAGCGCTGTCGCCGCCCATGTCGGTTCTGACCCATCCGGGATGTACCAAAGCAATAAAAATTCCTTTTTTCTCCCATTCTTTTGCCATGCAAACTGTGAACATGTTTAGTGCAGCTTATACAGACACAAGAGTTAGTCTTTGTGAGGTATTAAAAGAAGCTCACTTGTTATCAACACTGGCGCAAAAGAAAAACGTTATCAGTGTCGATTCGTGCAAGTGAAAAGTGAAGCTTTCTTATAGCTATTACCCATTGCGGCACTTCTTGAAGAAATATGCCATTTTTTTTTATTTATTTATTTTTTCATGAAAAAATCTATTTAACTCGACTTCTTTTTGAAAAAAACCTATTTAAATCTACTTTTTTAAAATTCATTTAGAAATTAATTTTAAAAAAGATACATTTAAATTCATTCTGCGTAACTTTTTGTGCGAAAAATCTGTTTAAATTGATTTCTATCTCAATAAATCTGGTTTTAGTTTTTGAGAAAATCTATTTAACCCTTTGAGGACCGGTGGTCCAAAAATGGACCACCTGTTTCTCAATGAAGGAAAAACTGTTTAGTTTACATTAAACTAATACACATGTAAGGTTATTAAGGTCATAAACAACTACATGTGTCATCTCATCCTTTTCTTTTCTTTCTTTTCAAATATTCTTTGTTCTTGCTGCTT